TCCTGCTCCACTTACACCTACCAGACCAATCTTTTCCTTCAGCCTCATTCTACAACTGAACTTTCCCAAAGGATTTGGCATTCCAGATTACCAAATCCCAGTCCTGGGCTGGCACTGCACCCAGTAGCAGCTGTTCCTTGTCTAAATACAAACTACAGCTAGAGAAATGATTGCTCACAATCAGGAGGTGTCTGATACATTAAAAATCACTGCTGGAATGTTTATATTCCCTGTTTGCTTGTCCCTGTTTCACCAACCTTTTCTACATCAACCACCCAAAGCTTCAACTGGGTCATCTCAAGAGACCCAAACCATCCCCTACAGACTTTTGTGTCTTCAAAATACGGATAGCAAGGTGATTTTTCTCCCTGATTTCTCCACAGTCAGGTTAAAACTCACACAGGAGAGCACTAACATCACTGTGTCTTTCCAAGCTAACTCAAGAGGAAGGAGTTCACTCCTTATTCACCAGGAACATGCCCACAGCAGAGCAGGAGAGGATTTGGAATTAGCTACCTGGCAAACAAGTTACACAGTTCTTGTTCTCAATAGAGAATTGCCTCCCTCGTAGTGCCAGAAAACACCTAATTTCTTTACCTGCTAATATTCTTTGCCACTAATCCTCAGAGCGTCTGTCCAGACAAGTAGGAATTACACATTCCATTGGCAGGAGAAGAATAAATACTCAACTTGTCTGGGCTGACCCACAGAGGAGAAGGGAAGGCAACATTTCACAATGGGAGTGAGAAATGCCTGTGCTGCTACTGAGAAAAGTGGGGACAGAGTCTGTGTAACACACGTCAAACTCAGCTCTTTGGAGTTTATTAGCATGGAAAACCAGTCAAAATGTTCTTTTCACAGCTCCATGCACTGGGATGTCAAAGCCAAGAGCAGCCCAACCTGCCCCTGATCTGTCATAGCAATTAGGTTGCAAAAGGTCAAGGATTTTAATAACTCAACCATGTTTGGGAGCTGCTTATTACTGTGTCGTTCCAGTCAATTATTAGTAATGAGGAAAACACAAGCTCCTTCTCCCAGGAACTCCAAAAGGCACTGGGAAAAGAATTTAGCCTTTAACACTAAACCTGAGCCAGAATGTCAGAGATCCTCCCCAGAGGAACCACATCCAGAGGAGAACCAGATGCTGAGGAAACTCCAAATTAAGCTCTAACTTAATAAAGCAGGAATAAACCCCAACGCCCTCCTGACCCAAGAGCCTGTGGCAGGAGGTGATTACAGGGTGCAGACAGGCCACAGCTCAGCCTGGACCCACATCCAGCAGCCAAATCCAGCAGGAACACATGGACTGGATGGTTGGCTGCAAACACCCACTGCTTTGGAGAGGGATGACCCACCTGAGGAGGAGAGTTGGAGTTCAGGTTGTCCTTGGGAGGACTCAAGGAAGGAGCTTCTCCTTGAAAACCGCTACTGTTCTGGGGCTGACAGAGCTTCCTGCAAAACACAAAGTTGGGGCTGTTCAAACCCTGTGTTTGATGTCATTTCACATCTTCCTCTGAAGAAAAGAGCCTTTTTTTGGGGTTCCAACTCTGCTTGAAGGTGCCACCAAAGCAGCTCATTCAGGCACTTACAGACCTGATCTTGGATAAAATCTAAGGAGAAGAAAACTACTACAGGAAAACATCAATCAACGACACATTGGAATTCCTGATTATCTCTTTTGTCTTCCCATTTTTGTGGCTCTCTGGGAATGGAGGTAACACCTTGGACCAACACTGGAGGGAAGATACAATATCTAATACATACTACCTATATTCCTGAATATTTTATTACTCACCTCAGTAAGCAAGACATGAATTAAACTAATTTCTGCTGACTTTTTTGCTTTGCTCAGTTAAAACTGACTTCGTGAGGCAACTCAGAAAGCAAAGCTCACTGAAAAGGAGCTGAAACTCAAGGTCAGATGCTGAAGAATAAGTTCTCCTGCTCATTAGCATCATTAAAACAACATTTTCTGGGAACAGGAGTCCTTTCAGCACTGAGCCCCTCTGGGGGCAGGAAAAGCAGGATTAGAAACAGGAACTGCTGAGGTATTATTGGCCCACTAGGATTTACGTTCAGGCCTTGACAGTAAAGACTTTGAAGTTGCATCATGCAGAATAAAGTTACCCTGTCTGTATTTGTGGGGTTTGACAAGTAATAGAAACCTCTTGAGAGTGAAAAAGAGGACAATTTAATCAGGGAACTACCTTAATTTGAGGTCTCTGCTCCCCAAAATGCCTTCATTTCCCTTTATTTTGGGTCTTTGTCCCTCAAGATGCCTCGATTTCTCTTCACGCTTTGTCTGTGCTCCCCAAGATGCCTCAATTCCCCTTCAGGATTGGTCTGTGCTTCCCAAAATGCCTTAATTTCCCTTTACTTTGGGTCTGTTCCCCTCAAGATGCCTCAATTCTTCATTTTGGGTCTCTATTCCCAAAATGCCTTAATTTCCCTTTATTTTGGGTCTGTGCCCCTCAAGATGCCTCAATTTCCCTTCAAGACTGATCTGTGCTCCCCAAAATGCCTTAATTCCCCTTCATTTTGGGTCTCTACTCCCCAAAATGTCTTAATTTCCCATCAGGTTGGATCTCTGCTCCTCAAAATGCCTCAATTCCTCCCAGGTAGAGACCTCCCCTGGCCCTCCCAGGTTGCTCAGGATCCCATTTCACCCCAAGAGAAGGATGGAAAACACAAAGAGGAGAAAAACTGAGTCTGTCTAACATGAGCAGAGTTCGATGGAGTTTGACTCTCTGCAGATGTGCCAATTATTGCAGCTGCTCAACCATCAAGTGGCAACTGGCCCTGAACACCAAGAGGACATGGAACAATTGGTTGGCTCCAGGCAACCTGAGCAGTGACACAAAGCTCCACATCCTCTGCCCGTGCCCTTTTTGTGGCTGTTTTTCCTCCTGTCTTCAACCTTACATGTTTTTTTCCATTTTGGAGCCTCATTACCTGCACTGGCTGAGCAGAGCTTTGTTTGTACAGTTGAATACATCCTTTCCAAAGTCTATTTTTAGACCTTTGCCTAACTGAATGCCACAATTCTAGAAGGGAAAAAAAAAGCAGTAAACATTGCTTTTCTACAGGGAGAAATTAACTTTTTTGTTTTTGGAGGGGGGAAAGCCATTGGAAAGTTTTGGGTTTTCCTTTTAATTATCACTTCACATCAAGGCCATTTAAATCAGTTTGATATTTCCTTAGCACAGCAAAGCACTTTGGAGTGCAAGTTTTCTGTTGGCTTAAAGTCTCATCTCCAAGTCAACTGAGCTTTTAAATCATGAGAACTGCTTCATCTTAAGTAAAAGTGCAATCAAATAAGGCACAAGTAAAACTCTGTCTGCATTACAACATCTCTACCAAGGCACTGAAACAACCAGGGAGGGAAATCTAAACCCTCAGAGCACAATTCTCCTGGAAGAAACCTGGGAGAGTTGGTGTCTTTCCCTGCCAGCCAGAAGCTTCCAAGCTTGGAGGCTTCACCTAAGGAAAAATAGGTGTAAAGGAAAAAAAATATTGAGTAAATAAGGATCAACTAACTGTGCTAAGGCTGTTTGCAGGAGGGAACATGGGACAGGTATTCCTAGGGAATGGAAGATTCCTTCAGGACAACCATCATATATTTTAGGGAACAACTTAAGGGCTACTTTCAGGAGGGAAGATGGGACAGGCTAGGATAAGATAAGGAAGATTCCTTCAGGACAACCATCATGTATTTTAGGGATCAACTTAAGGGCTATTTTCAGGAGGGAAGATGGGACAGGTATCCCTAGGATAAGGAAGATTCCTTCAGGACAACCATCATGTATTTTAGGGATCAACTTCAGGGCTATTTTCAGGAGGGAAGATGGGACAGGTATCCCTAGGATAAGGAAGATTCCTTCAGGACAACCATCATGTATTTTAGGGATCAACTTAAGGGCTATTTTCAGGAGGGAAGATGGGACAGGTATCCCCTGGACAAGCAAGATTCCTTCAGGACAACCACCATGTGTTTTAGGGCTTTATCCCTATAGAACTGCCTTTCCTTTTCCATGTAACCCTTACTTTGATCAAATTTCCACCTCAGGGATGTGGCTATGTGAATCCCCCAAACATTTCAGCCTCCACTGCAAGCCATGGGCAAGGAAATATGGAGAAAAGAAAGGAGACTCCAGCTGGACATGTTTAATCCACTCATCTCCCAGGGTTTTAACTCACCACTAACTTCACTCTCACAGCTTTGCTCCATATCCAGGTTTTCCCCCAAGCTTTTAGCATAATTTAAAGGCAACCCAAGAGGACCTGAGGAGTGAATTCACTTTGCTACTCAAGTTGAGTCACCTCCTAGAGCTTCCTGGATGATCAACAGATGTTAAAGTAAGTCAAACACTCAACATCCTAGAGTTCTACAGCCCTTGGTTACTGATTTATAGCACCTGGGCCAGGATGTCCAAGCTCCAGATGATATGAGGGAGAAGATGGATAATTACCTGACGAGGATCCTCTTCAGCAGCTGCTGATCTCCTTCTGAGTAGCCAGGCCAGTCCTTCTGCACTTCTTTGTATACACAGTCTTTCAGTGTGAAAGTGCTGTCCTTGGCACTCAAATTTGCCACCTGAAACAGAAGGAATTTGTAAAAAAAACCAACCAAACCCAAAACATTATTAGGGCTTCATTTTCTCCTTTACTCCAACAAACTAAGGTGAAGGCAAAAATCTTAGTAGTGTCAGAGAATGAGGAGAGGCTTTAATATTTCATTGCCTAATTATGAAGATTATTTAGTCAAACTGTGCCTTTCCTTCAGCCCTGTCACTGTGATAATTTATTAGGAGTTTTGAAGGCATATCCAGTTGAGTAGGAAATAAGTCCTATCTAAGAGATTATTGGGCTTGGGAAGCCTGAAACAGTAGAGCAGCAGTTGATGGAAATCCCTGGAAATAAAACCTAATGGGAACAGGTAGTTCACTTATCACACCTGTCCCACAGCCAAAATGGGGCAGTTTATGGCTGATAGAGCAACTCTCGCAGCGATAACTTCGTTAACGATTGCCAGGAGATAATTTCTCACTGTGGAGCCAGAGAAAAAGGCACCAGGAAAGCTTCCTGAGGGAGCAGTGAGGAGAATGCCTGGAGATACACCACACTGGGATCATCTGGATTTCACAGAGAACTTTTCCAAGTACTCCAGGGCAAGACCAAGACCTGTGATTCCCAGAAGTTACAGCACAGCACTCAAGGTAGCTCAGCACATTGGCTCCAGAAGTTTGTGGACATTTTATCCAGCTTTATCCTGTGGAGTTTCCCCCCCTCCAAGTCCCTGCATGGATAGGAAACACTGCTGGAATGGGCAGGATTGGATTAGAATGGAAACAACTTGTTCAGAGTTATCCCATTTGGATCAGTCTTTCCACAGCTTGACTGAAAGTTTAAATTCTTGCTGAACACAGAGTTAGCACAAAGTGAAGCTTTCCCAGACAGTGAATCTCTCTTAGGTGATCCATAGGATTAGAGTCGTGGAATGGTTTGGGTTGGAAGGACCTTAAAGTATCCAGTCTCCCTCCCTTCCCCTAAGCCCAAGTTGCTCCAAGGCCTGGAACATTCCAGAGATGGAGCAGCTTCTCTGAGCAACCTGTGATTGCAGAGCACTGCAAGACTAAAAGGAAACAAAGCCTGAAATGTGTTTTTCCACAGGGACATGGAGGCCAAACACTGCCCACAGCCAGGCTGGGAACTGGCAATGCCAACAGCCACATCCCAAATTCCCTGCTGGAGCCTCTGGGCTTGAGGATTGAGTTACTCCTGAAACTGGGAGATGCTTTTACTCAGTCCTTGTCCTTAGGGATTAGTGTTCTCCATCCATCCAGGACATGCTTGTGCTTCTGGATTTCTATTATCCACACAGCAGTATAAAACCCCAGAAACATCAAGGTTGGAGGAGATCTCTAAGATCATCAAGTCCCAACCACCTACTAATGGAAATGGTAATAAAATGCCTCAAAAACAAGAGAAGGAGTGGAAAGTCTTGAATTAACTAAAGATGTTACTAATTCCTCTGCTTTTGCTTTAGGGACACTACAACCCTAGAGTAAAAATCCAGGAATTTCAAAGCCAAAAGCTGCACAACTAACACAGCAAAACTCTCCTGATAAGCAGAAAAATAGAAAGCTCAGTTATCAGTTGACATGACAAACACTTTGTTTTCCCTTTCAGTCCTGTCAGCTTTCCAAACTCCTGAGCCAAAACACAAGTAGAATTTGAGCTGTGTTTTACACTGAACTATCCCAAAAGTGACAAAAAGCCAAGTCAGGTTCCATGTCCAAAACCCTCCCAGGATGTCTCTGGTTGCTACAGCAAGGTAAGAGCTGAAGCTCAGCAAGAATCACTTGGGTTTGCTCTGCATGAAGCCTGAGAGCTGCTACCTTCTTGTTTTGCTAGTGTGGGACTCTGCAAGCTCCACCCCAACCCTCCCAAAAATAGAAACCTTGCAAAATGAGGCAAAAAGGCCCCAGGAACAGAGAGTCCTGCGAGAGAGAGAGAGATGCAAGAGCACAATGAAACCCACACCTAGCCGGATTTAGCCCTTGTAGCTTTAACACAGGCTGTAATTTTTAGCTTATCTATGTCTGCTGCAGGATGGGAGGAGGGCTGAGAGGGGATTAACTTTACTAGCACCACAGTTAACAGCCAAATCAGCATTTAGCCCCATCAGGCTGTCCCTGTGGCCAGGGCAGCACGAGCTGCTGTGCTGCCAGGGAGGGTTGGCACCAGCAGCAACCCAAAGTGATGAGCACAAACTGAGGTTTGTGGCCTGAAATCTATTGAGAACAATTTGGAAAAAGGTGCTTGAAAGAATTTGAGCACTGTTGGAAAAGGAAGGGCAAGTTGTGCCAGGTAGAACTCTTGTTTTCAATCTGACCTGCCCTGTGCCCTTGGGCAAACTCTCAAGTCAGAAAGGAGTAAAAGCAACAAAAAATAATAAAAATACAGGCTATATTCCAGAATATGCTCCAATACAGAAGAAGGCAGCTGCAGCATTTAAATAACTAGCTATGATGTGTTTAATAAAGCCATAAAGGTGTTTACTGCAAGGCCTAAAATGGCACCTCTGACGTGACTCGCAGTGTTAAGAACTGATTCAGCTTTGAGCTTTCACACTTGACATACAAATAATGTGCTTGGCAAAAAGCTGCATGATCTTCACACCTAACCAGTGGCACTTCCAAGCAGGAAAGGCTCTGAGCAATACAAAGAGGTATAGAAAAGAGGAGACATCTTTTTCCCTCACATGGATCAACACGGAACGTTGCTCCTTTTTGTTCATGAGAACGCAACGAGCATTGAGAGGTTATAACAAACCAAATAGCTCATAGAACCTCTGTTAGATAATTCTCAGTCTGAAGGGACTGATCTGGTAAGCCAAAAAAATATAAAATAAATCATACAGCTTGGTAGCACAGCCCTAACCCGAGGTGTCACCACAAGAGGCTCCTGCTAGCTGTGACCCAGTGATGGGAACCACAAACTGTGTCCCCCACAGCCTTCAGAGCCACACTGAGCTGCAACTGGGAGAGAACAAGTTACACCCAGACACAGGAATCTTCTGAGAAGACATTTCCCTTTACCTAAATCGTTGCCTTCATCAGAGTACAAACCTGTTGCAGAAGGTTATCCAGCAAATCCTTGTCCTGCTGAGAAAGTCCATCCTTCTGCAATCTGAGAATAAGTTCAGGTTTCTTATAAGGCTTTAGTGCCAGTAAGTGCACAACCCTATCTTTGAAGGGTCTCTGAGAAATGGCACTATTGCCTCTCTTTATTGCACTGGCAAGGTTGACTGGCGTTGGGCGCTTCCTGGAGGGAACAGCATCGGAAGCTCCTGGTGCAGGTTTACGCACCTGAACCTTTTTGCCTAAAATGAGATGAGAATAGTAAACTGCAGCAGTCACCTTGCAAAGGCCAGTGGGCTGTCAACACGTATATGGACTTCAATTCCACCCTCTCAAGTGGCAGCAGATGACAGGGAAGGACAAAACACAACCAGCACAACCCCAACCGTCGCCGCTCGCTGCCGGAACGAGGAGCTCAGGAGTTTGATGCTTCCTGACAAGCTTGGAACAAGTAAACAGCAACACCAAGCTCTGGAAACCTGAGTATTATTGGCCACCAGCTTACATAAAGCTCTCTTTGTTTGCCAAGCTTTTCATTTAGCCCAAGTGCACATATCCCCATGGTTAATCTAAACTGGTTTTCCCCCCCCCTCCCCTACCAGAAGAAAATTCGGTATTATTATGTAGAAGAGTGGAAATAGGGAGTGGAAAGCCCAGAACTGGTCAGTGAGTGGCTCCCTGCTGCTGAGCTCAGCAAAACACTCCTCTAGCAGATGTTTCTGCTTTTAGAACAATAGCAACTTTATGGGGCTGGGTCCACCTCCCTTCCCCCTCCAACCAGGGCCACATGAATGGGGCCAACACTGGGCCATCAGCCTAGTCACCAGGGTGTTGCTATGCTAAGAGAATAACCCCTTCTCTCTCCACTGTCCTAAGAGCTGCCTCACCCTCCAGTTGCATTGAGAGATAAGGGAGAACACCAAGCTGTATCTAAAGTGCACCTCAGCTCCATCCCCAGCGTGGCATGACAATTCCTGTTTCCCACTCCTACCAAAGAGCAGAAGCCTCACACAACTCCCACATCACATCCTGAAGGCCAAATCAAAGAACTGGGCTATTTAGCATACACAAACAGGTCCCAGAGGCAAGTTCTTGCTACCAAAACAAGCCCAGCTAAAAAGGAAAACGTGGAGGTTCCAAGGTCTAAAATGTGGAGCTACAATCAATAATCACTTGGGCTGGAGAAAGTGACCTTCCCTAAGACAAATAACATCCAGTGTGTACTGCAAGTGCTTTGGAGGTTTATTCCAGCACTCCTCCACTGCTAGGAAGCAATGTTTTCAACTGAGTCATCTGAAGATACTGGGGATTGTCTGCACTGTTTGTCTTACTGGGGATTGCATAACCCAGTCCCCATTTCCTGGCTGCTCATTACACACCACAGTGCTGAGAGCAGGCAGGACCCATCCTCCTCAGCAGGGCTGAGGGAAGGTGAGCGAGAGAACAGCAGCAATGCACACATTGAACAGCCCCCAAAAATTCAGAGGTCAACTGGATTTTGTTTCCAGGAATGGGATAAGAGAAGATTCGTCAGCTTTTTACAACTCCCTTAACTCTTGCCAGATCAGGAGGAATAAAAACACACATTGGGACATTTCCACTTGAGACTGGAGCCAAACTGTGCAGTGATAGGAAAGGAAAAAGCTAAGAAAATATTTACCCACAGGCATGATGTACACACAGATCTCAGTGTGGCTATAAGCAGCACATCCCCTGCAGATCTACCTGCAGGTATCTGTTTCCACGTCTATTTATTCAAGGGTTAGTTCATGTCTCGAAGTTCCTCTCCAATTTCAACATTTCATAGAAATTTTTCCACATCTAAGCTGCCTGGAAGGTCTGTGCTGAGGCTGGAAGTGCTGAGCTCTGTGTTCTCATGGAAATGTGAGAGCCAAGCCTGTCCCTCCAGCCTGGGAGGGATCAGCTGATGGTGCTGGCACATCCCACGTGGGGACTGTCCTGCCAGGCTCTTCCTTCTTGGCCTAGTGCTCTCCTCCTGTCTTAAACACTGACATCTTAGCTCTGAGCACTCTGTCCCACTGCTTTTACTCAGTTCTGTCTCCATTTCAGAGCAGTAAAAGGTTTTACCAAGAATATTTTAAAATCAAGAAGTTTTGCTCTCTCTCTTTTTCCAGGAAGGGAAAACTTGCTTTGAGAATCTTCTCCCTCCCAAACTTTAACTTCATCCACTTACTGTAATGTTCTCGAATATGAGCTAAACAAAATCATCTTCTAAAGTCTACAGGAAATCAATGCATTTCCTTCCTGATTACTATCTTGTTTCTCAGCTTTGAGCACTTGGCTGCTACCACAGTGAGTCAGGGTCAGTAGTACATTTTGCAACTCACCCTTCTCATCACAGACATCCTCTGAGGAGAGACTGGACTGGCTGCAGGTCACATGGGCAGCAGAAAAAAACCCAGCTGCCTCCAAAATAATAATGAAACTCTGCTTTCTGGTTAGTGTTTGTGCCCAAAGTGGGTGACCTGAGGCTAAGCAGGGCCCTGGGCTGGGGCTCTGCAAGCTCCTTGTGCTATCAGTTTTATTTCCTCCTCTAAGGTTTTCCTTCTGTGGGCACAGAGAGATGGTCTGTCCCAGGCTGCAGCACTGCTTTAGGTTGTTTTTTAGCACAAGGACACTGCTACCTGCATCCTACCCATGCCATGTCCTCAGTGTGGGCACACACCAGCTGGGTGACCCAGTGAGGGCACATTCCAGCTGACCTGGCACAGACACTTGTGGTGGATGAGCAGTGAGTTCCCAGCAGTGCTATGACAAATGGGACCTACTGCCAGAGATGTGACTGTACACAGACAGCCCCAACATCACTGTGGGCAGAATCCCACTCTGGTTTGGGCTGGAAGGACCTTAAAGATCATCCAGTGCCACCCTTACCATGGGCAGGGACACCTGA